TACTTACTACTAACCGCTTTATACTCGGTGCATTTGCCATCATATTCGGTGCTTAGATCAATTTTAGCGGTGCAGCTTTCTTTATATTCGGTGGCTAGTTTGCCATGCTCAGTGCTTTGTCCATAGTCAGTTTGCACCTGATTTGTGGCCAGTTTAGCATCTAGTTTGGTGCGAACATATTGGTACTTGATGCTCAGTGATTCTGTTCATATAGCATTATATTCGGTGCATTTGCAACATGGTATTCACTGAGCCAGTATATCTGGTCATCTAAACTACTACAAAGCACATGCTCACATCGTATTTTGTGAGACTGGTCCCCTGAGCCCACCGTTTCAATTGGTCACGTGGTCAGCGAGTGGCTAGGCCAGCCAACATGTGCCATACATGACGTACACACCGATAATCGCGCCAAGAGCAATTTCTTCCTGCCTTCGTAACCGTAATCTTACAGTTCATTTTTATCTATTAAATTTATGGATGACATACTTCAAGAACTGAATTTGGGAACTCTAGTTGACAGATTTAATGATGAGAAAGTGGCAGTTGACACCTTAATTTCAGCTTCAGACAGCAAGTTAGCTCCACTTGGTGTTTGTACCATCGGCAGACGTATACGTCTTTGCAATCTTTGCAAGGCAAGGAAGCAGGAAGATTCCGAAGTTTCTCATGCATCCACATCAAAAAATCGAGAAGAGCAATTAGCTTTGTTTAATCCGCGAAGGCAAGGGAGAGGAGCTCTGGGAGTGATTCTAAACGAAGAAAAACAGCCACAAAGTCAAAGCTATGGACCGCTCACTTTGCTTGTTTTGCCGACTGGTTTTGTTTTAAAACGCCTACATCAGTTGAAAAGCAAATACTTTTCAAAGCTGTACTTGGACTGAAGAGGATTAAGCCCGATCTTGAAGACGATGAGAATACCGTTAAGGAAAAGATTACCTCAGATGCCTTGGATAGTCAAGGGGAACCAGAAGGATTTCCCGCCCTTCGAACATGTGGCAGCTTTGAGCTAATGCAGTGCAGTCCGAACTGTAGGGACTTAACTGGAATTACTTGTGCATGGAATGCAAAGGACCTCAGAGCTAATCTGGGAGGTGGGCAAGGCAAAATGTGTCTGGTACCTATACAGAAATCCCTTTCTATGAGACCCCTTGCACTAAAGGGTGCTGAATCTGCACTTAAAGAAAAATGTAACAAATCCAAGAAAGAGATTTTGGTTCGTGAACTAAGAAAGCATCTATGGGATTGTGAAGATGCAGATGATGAGATCGATGATTCAACCCTGCATGCCTCTGTGTTTGAAACACGACCAACAACTCTTGGGTCCTCAACAACTACAACAGCTGTTTTAAGCCATGTAGTTTTGGAAAGCACCCAGAGGAATCTCACCACTTCTGCTGTTGATTCCCTGGTTTCACACAGCCCTTCAGTTGTAGAGAGAAGTTCTACTGCCATGAATCCTGATCCAGCTAACCCTCCATCTTTGAATTCAAGTGGAGAAGACTCTAGTATTGACACACCCTTAACCATGGCAAAAATGTCAGTGGATGAAGTGGTCAATAAAACTGTCCATATTGCCAGACACAATGTCAACAATCCAGTAGACATCTTACGGTGTTTTCAACAAAACATAGTCACTGGAATAGACCTAGAAGTTGAAAAAGCACACAAACCAACAGAGGGAGAAACCAATTATATTATGGTTGATCGTTCAAACCTACTTCAATCATCATTTGATGAGTTAAGTTGTCTGCAAGACTACAGAAAGACCTTAGAAGTGCAATTTTATGATGAGGTACAACTCTTTCGATATTATTTGATATGGGAAACAGTTTTATTTGTGGCATAACTGTGTCAACAACAGAATTTTTGAATCTGATTAGTTCTCAACTGCCCTTAGATATTGCTTAATTTGGCTGATGCAGCACCAGAAGCTTCCAGCTTTGCCTGTCCGTTTAGAAGCTCTATGTAACCAGACAGGTGAAGTTGGACAGTTTAACAGCCAATGAAAATCAAACATCAATTGTTGCTACTCGATAGGGTTTATCAACCTGAATAAGTCCAGTCAGCAACTCAATTTGACAAATTTTATTTATGTTAAAAAATTTAAAAAGTTGATGCACTTGGAGCTCTGTGCTCCATATTCTGATAGTTTGTGCCAAAGTTGTAACAAAGCTGTGTCAAAGCTGTAAGCTGATGTATAAGAACTTTGTACTTTTAATGTTCAAATCCTGAGATTCTCGCATTTTGTTGTTGACACAATTATTTTTTATTTATTGTTAATTCATAGAGGAATTCCTGTCATAATTCAGGGTGTTCAGGATTGTGATGTCAAATGTTGAAAGCCACTAGGCCCTGATTGCTGATTGCTACATGGATAGTACCCCACTCATTCATATTACCTTCACTGCATGTATATTTTTTTTACCTTTTCTTAGTAACAGGTAATAAGCATTTCATTTTTGTCAAGCTGTCCTTTTTCCAAATCATATCATTCTATACACCGAATGCAAATATGGCGGACCACTCAAGCGGACCGGGCCAAGTTGCGCAAAGTCAAGGCTAGTTAGGTCACGGCTTTTCCCTGATGTTTTGTTTTGGTTGTCACGAATGGCTGCACGTGTGCTAACCCAGGACAATATCCCGGGAGCTTCTCTCGACTAGTAGTACTACTACTAGGTGATTATAGCCCGGATTGTAGAGAAAAAAAGCTTAGCTCATACAACGTACCTTCAAATTTAATGAAGACAAAGAAATTCACTAGTGGACTTGGAGCGGGGTTGGGGTGGCGGGGGTAGGCAGGGGGAAGGTGCAAGGACTTTGGGATTTTGTGCGTAGCTCTGTAAAACCCTGTCTGGTTGAAAGAGGTGTTGTTATGGAGATGTTAAAGGGAGATAATAACTGCATTGCCCAAAATAACTCAAATACGCGTCAAACGAACACTCGTGAATAGAGAGTGTCCCTCTCAAATGCCAAAGAGGGTTTGCCGTTTAGTACTCTTCCTCGAAATTACTTTTTTTTAAAAATGTTACTAACTTTAGCCTTGTGGTTAAATTTGCTTTTGTCGCACTTCACAACTATTCCGGGTCCTCCGAATGGCGTTATTGGATTATACTCCAGATCAAAAGTACACACGTCCTCCAGTCTTCAGTAGATCTGGGATGTTTTGTTTTTTGTCAGTCCAACCTTTCTGGATGCAGACTTTTGTGAGTTGTCCTCGACGAAAAAATATATGCATAGAAGCAGCTTCGCCAAACAAATTCGCGGAAACTCCTGAAAGAAGCTGTTGCTTCTGATGCTTCGCCTCTTTTTGCACCTCCGGCAATGCCTGCAGTTTCAGAATGAAATATAACCATGATCAAAGAATAGCAAGAGCTAAGAGTGCACTCGCATGCATGCAGATATTGCTAACCATGCACAGCAGATGTATAAGGTTGAGCCTTAGTCGGGTTTGACGAAAACAATGACCAGTAAAATCGAGTCAGCATATAGTCTGAATATAGTACAGGGAGTCCGGAAAGTTTGTTCCTCTAATTTCATGCACCATGCATAACTTTTGATCAAAACTTTATTTTTACATGAAATTTCTGGAAGCTGTTAATTCTCTATCGAGTTCATCTATTCAGAATTTCAGTAACTGGCATGCCCTTTTTGTTTTTGAACACATTCTGTAGCTGTTGCGGCATGGAGTGGGTTAGAGCGTGAAGGCTCACAGAAGATCCATTTTGAACTTTTTTTATCACCTGGTGCGCAGGAGCCAGTTTCATCCCCGAACAATATTTGTTAGTTTAGACAGCTGAAAAAAAGTATTTTGGGCATTCATCCAAAAAAGATAATCATCACAGCCCCTCTCCACAGCAAGGCCTTCGTACTTCTTTACAAATTTGAGATGAGCTGGGCGTTACTTGGCAGACTAAGCACACTGTAATTTTTAGGGAGTTCTTATAACTCCAAAAATGGAGTAAAAATTTTAGAGACAGGATAACCCCTTTTTGGGGGTTATTTTAACTCCTCATTTAACTCCGAATTTGGAGTCATTTTTACTCCTGAAAAAGAGTTCTTTTTACTCCCAGTCTGGAGTTGAGATAATTCCGAGATGGGGTAGTTGTTCCTTACATGGGTTGTTTTTACTCTTTTGGGACTTAATTTAACTCTGAAAGTGGAGTAAACATTTTAGGTACAGGATAACTCCTTTTTTGGGGTAAGTTTAACTCCTCAATATCTGGGGTCACTTTTACTCCTGCAAAAGAGTTCTTTAAACTCCTTTTTGGAGTTAAAATAACTCCCCCAAAAAATAACTCCACTTTAAGGAGTTACATTAGGCCCACTAAAGGAGTTATTATGACTCCTTGAAAATTACTGTGCAGATCGGTTTTTTGGCCATCTCAGGGGTTAATTTTAAACATTCGCCTTTCATGATCCTTACTGGACTTGGCTTGCTAATTATGTGAGAGCTTCCTCATCGAGTCTCCTATTTTGTATCTCTGAAAACTATTTTACCAGCTTTATTCATGACTTTTGGTCTTCCGCTTTGTTTCTTACCTTCAAAACCTTCATTTCTCCATGATCATTTTACCCCCAACATTCGCATTTTTCCAGATTTTTAGCAGTTTCTACAACAGATAAGCCAGTAAGATTCGACCAGATTCGAGTCAGCTAGATCCATTCGGAATATTATATGCTGAGTCGCTATCATTTCACAAAAAAATAAGGAAGGAGTTCAGGCAATTAGGGCTATAAAATACAAAATTATGTGGCTGGAAAATATACTCGCGCACGTGCACCTTTGGCGAGCAAGTACACAAATTGTATATATATATATCTATAAATTACATTTGGAAGGGCTTAGTTTCAGAATTTTATGGTTTTGCCAAATGGACCATTTTTTACGTCAGTCCAACAGCTTTTTTCTACAAAGTAGCCTTTAAAAAACTGAGAGCCTGGAGCCCTAGGACAACACCGAAAGCTTTTGTGAAGAACTGTAGCGTGATTTACACGCGCGTATGTAAATAAAATTGAGGCTGAAAGTAGGTCCACGGAAAAGAGTGTTGAACCTCGCTTAACTTTTACACTTACGCACCAAGTAAGTGTTCATTCGTAGTGTGTGCCTTAACTGCGTCGTCGTCTTCCATATTGTTGTCCTTTCAAGCAAATCATGCTGTTTTGTTTCTTCCCGAAGACTGAGATTCCTAAAGTCGGAAAAGAGTGGCCACTCAATGAAGGTTCTCTCCCAAGGTATTCCAACTGGACTTGAGCTCACGAAGGAATTTAAGGGGTCTACGACCAAGAAAATAGATACAGTTGACTCCCGATAATTCGAACCTTCAAGGGAAATCTAAAAAGGTTTGAGTTATCGGGAGCTCGAAGAAAAGAGCTGGAAGTAAAGAAAAAAGTTTTTACTGCACAGTGAGCATTCTAATCACATGTAATTGTAAAAATGTTGAGTGAAAATTGAAAGATACTGTTAGATTATAAATCAGAACGTAAAGTAACAAAACGTTGCCTAAATAGAGCATGCATTTTACTTTTTGAGAAGTAAAGTTATTTCACGTTAGATTTGTGGCAAACAACATCAGCCTCCACTATTGATCCACTAGTAAACTATATGCCTACAACACGCCAATGGGAAATTCAAAATTCAATGTTTCGGATGCAGTACACTCTTTTTTCCCGACTTTTTAAGGGCTCAAAACATAGTTCGAGTTATCGAGGGTAAAATTATATAGAAATGATCTGAGGGGAAACAAAAATTACTTCGAGTTAGCGGGAGTTTCGAGTTATCGAGGGTTCGAGTTACCAAGGGTAAAATTACAGTAAATGTATGATGGAAATCCACGGGAAATCAATTTTGGTTCGAGTTAGTGGGAGGTTCGAGTTAGCCAGGGTTCGAGTTATGGGGAGTCAACTGTATGCATCGGAAATCCAGTTCAGGTAATAGTTTTTCATGTCTTCGAGAATGCCTGGTCTAAAGTACAGGTCACATTCCACAGGTCAGGAGTACAGGTCACAGCTCCATCGATAAATTGCCAAACCACACAGATTTCCCTTGATCAATAGGAGCATTTTGTAAAGGGATTAGGGGTAGGGGACACTTTTAACGCTTTTTATTTACCTGTGCGAGCAAGCTCTCCATTTGGGACATATCGGAAAAAGACACGAGAGGCACGCGTGAGGAGATGCTTAAGTGGGGAACGGGGGCTTCGCCGCTTGCTCGTGTGTTCTCGCGCGGCTCGCTTCGCTTGCCCATATGAGAGAACTTGCTCGTAGGCTACCTGTATTCTGACCTGTATTTTGGACCCTTGCGAACGTAGCCATAAAAATCTGAAAAATGAACCAAGTTGCTCTTTACTTAATATTTGGGTGCAGGTGAGCTGGCAAAAATCCTAAAATTCATGCCCTGTTTAGGCTAACGCCCTCAGGGTTATTACCCTGTTTCTCCAGTTTTTTTTTTTGAGTGGAGAGGGTGGCTCCACACAGGCTTATACAAAGGACTAAATGTGCGCCATCTTGTTTTAAAGCCATTTAATGGCTGATTTTACAGTACAGCAAATTCACGTTGTAGTCCTTGCTGCTGTATACTTAGAGCACAAAGAAATTTCATCAAGCAAATCATATCAAGGGTGCAGGCATTAGTTACTTTATAATCAGGACAGACTCATCTGAATAATATTCCCCAATTAAGACATACCATAACTCCTCTATAAAGCTCCTGCGGTGACTTGGTTATTTCACGCTCATTAGAGACAAGGAATTTATTAGAGGAGAGGCTTATTTGAGAGTGGAGGGGGGGGG